ACAAAACCTATGGGTTGTCTCATGTATATCCTTTCTTCTAAGTTTCCATGCAAAAAAGCGGTCTTAACGTCCAGATGTTCTAATTCTAAGACCTTATGAGCAACTATGGCTAGCATAATCCTAATGGTCTTATATTTAACAACGGGGGAGAATATCTCATTAAAGTCTATTCCCTCCTAGCCTTATATCTAGGGGGGTCAGAAGGGTTCATACCTTCTTTAAGCTTAAACAACCACCTACATTCAATAAGTTTCTAGTCTTTGTGATTTGGAACCAAAGACCAGGTTGCATTTACCTTTAGGGACAACATCTCTTCCTCCATTACAACTTTCCATTTTGCTTTGTCTTTAGATCTGACTGCTTCTTCATAGCAGTCTGGTTCTGTCCTCTAAACTTGAGCCCTTACCACCAGGGTTGTGTAAATCAAATCAGCGTAGGAGTATCTTGTTAGTGGCCTAATTTCTCTCCTACTTCTATCCCTAGCTAGCTGGTACTGGGGTAAGGGGTCAGGATGGGGTTCAATAGGTTCTGTTGCATTTTCCTCTTCCAAGTCAGGGTCCAGATCTAGTTCATTTACTTCAGCTTCCTGATGTTGCAATCCAGGTTGAATTTCAACAGGCTCCACCTCAATTTGGATTCTCTCAGGCTGATCTTGGTTCATAGGATTGCTGCTTATTGATCCTGCATCAGGGTTAGCAACTTTGCAAGGAAATATATTTTCATTGAAAATTACATCCCTACTGATTATTATTCTAACTCCTGGGGTACTTCTCTCCCAAAACCTATACCCTTTGGTTCCCTCTTGATAACCCAAGAAGACACACCTAAGTGACCTAGGATCTAATTTCCCTTCACTGTTATGGACGTATGCAACACATTCAAAGGTCCTCAAGTGTCCTAGACTAGGTTTCCGATTACTTCATTTTTCCTCAGGACACATAAAGCTGATGGCACTTAAGGGACTTCTGTTAATAAGGTAGGCAGTTGTGTTGAAGGCTTCCCCCAAAATGACTTAGGAAGGCTGGATGTGAAGAGAAGGCATCTCACCTTCTCTAAAAGGGTCTTGTTCATTCTTTTAGCAACTCCATTCTGCTGAGGGGTTCTTCTAACAGTTCTATGCCTTAGGATGCCATGTTTTGTGCAATAGGAGTCAAATTCCAGGTTACAGAACTCTAAATCATTGTCTGTTCTAAGGGTTTTAACCCTTTTGTCAGTTTGGTTCTCTACAAGAACCTTCCAACTCTTAAACCTACCCAAAGCTTCATCCTTAGTCCTAAGTAAGAAAACACACACCTTCCTACTGTAATCATCTACTATGGACAGAAAATAACTACTACCCCCATGTGATTTGACCCTTTCAGGTCCCCACAAGTCAGCATGCAAATATTCTAAGCAGTTGGAAGCTAGGTGAGTTCCCTTTTGGAAACTCAACCTGTGTTGCTTGCCCATTATGCAAGTCTCACAAAATTCAAGAGGTTCAATTTGGTCCTTACCAAACAGGCCCTGCTTATGGAGGATGTCCAAGCCCTTTTGGCTCATATGGCCTAGTCTTAAGTGCCATTTTTCAGTAACATTCGAGTTAGTAGAAACCAAAGCAGAATTTAAACAGTCAGAATAATAGGATCCAAACAGAATATACAAGCCATTCTTTTTTATCCCTTCAAGCAAAACACAATTATTTTTATAGACATAAAGGCAACCATTTTTAGCTTTATAACTACAACCAGATTCATCTAAAATACCTAATGAAATTAGGTTTCTTTTTAATTCTGGAATGTACCTCACTTTAGTCAACTTGACAGTTTTACCATTGTTTAGTTTTAAGGTTATGCTGCCTATCCCTTCAACTCTATAGGCATTATTATTCCCCATGTACACAGTTTCTAACATATTCTCCTCATAGTCCTGAAACCAATCTTTATTGGGACTTATATGAAATGAGCACCCAGAATCCATCACCCAATCATTTATTTTTTCTGTTTTAGAAACAGTTAAAACTTCAGATTCTTCTAAACTGGACTTAGAGGTTGCTAGGTTGCTTTAAGTGTTCCCTTGTTTCTGTTTCTTAAGCTAGGCATAACAGTTCTTTTTCAAATGGCTAGCCTTATTACAGAAGAAACACTTTCGGGTTTCTCCTTTGGCCTTAAGGTTTTGTTTTCCTTTTTTCTTATTCATAGGCCCACTATCAGACTGGACAGAATTGCTTATCTGGTTAAAATCACCCTTTCCCTTAACAAATAGGTTACTACCAGTTCTTCTCTGTACTTTAATCTCTAATTCTCTAGCTTTTAATCCTGAAACTATTAAGTCCACGCTTGGGACAATACCAGTGTATTGTAAGGCATTTTTTACAACCTGGTAATCTTCAGTTAGTGAGTTCAAAAGAATCATAGCTAAACTAGAGTCTCCGAGTTCTTGATCTGTACCCTTTAACACTTGGCTCAGTTTCAAGAACTCATCAAGATTTTCACAATGGTCTTAGAGCTATCCATTTTATATGCAAATAAAACACCCTTTAAGTAAGCAAGATTTGGAGCAAACTGTAAAGCACAAAAGGATTCGAGTTTACCCCATACCGTTGTTGGAGTTTCAAAGCCGTCTACCTTTCGCAGGACCCAGTCGGAGAGGTTCATAATGATCAGGTTGTACGCTTCCTCCTCTAGCTCTGCTTTCTTTTTCAGTTTCTCCTCTAACCACTTAGTTACATCATTTTCTAGTGCAATGGCTACCTTATTATGTGATAACAAGGCTTTCATTTTTTTTCCAACTGTTGAAATCAATTTTTCCATCGAATAGGGTGATTTCAACTCGTGTAGTAGTCATAGTGTTTAGATTTAGGGTTGGTATTTGAATTTAGGGTTGACACCAAAGAAACCCTAATTTGTTTAGGATTGAATTAGAACTGATTTCAAGAAATTGACCGGATAATCTAAGGTTTTCCAAGCCCTAAGACACTAATTTGACTGATTATACCGAAACCCCCAATTTGTATAAACCCTAGGTTTCAAGAATCACTCAAATCAGACAGAAAAACCCTAATCTCGCTCTGATACCACTGTTAAGCAGCAATCAAACTCAACCTAACATGTTCATCTATCAAACACAACTAGCAAACACTCAAGAAACAACACAAACAATAACGAATCAAGAAACAAGAACACAACCAATTTTACCGTGGTTCGTTTATCCTAAAGGAATAAACTACATCCATGTTAAGCTCCAAGTAAAATGGAGGCTCACTGCACTATAAGGATCAATCCAATTACAGATTACAACTCAATTAAGAACAGCCACTCAAATCACACAATCACCCAACCTTCAATCACCCGTAATCTCCTCTCAAAGACAACTAATACAAGCGTCTCAACTAGAAGAACCTAATACTTCTTCTACCCACAATTTAACTGATAAATTGCAATAGATTACACAAACTGAAGATTAACCAAACTAAGAATAAAACCCTAGCAAAGATGAAAAACGCGATAGAGAGAGTGTATGCTACTTTTTCTGTTTCTGTGTAACTTTAGCTTTAGATAGGTTGACCTCAAAGCTTCATTTGCACTGTTGGATTAGACTGGAACCAAAGGCTGAGATCTGTAACTTAACAAAGCTTCAAAACGACAGTGTATCGCTTACTCCAATACGACACCATTTGAAACTTCACTCAACAGTATGTTAACAAATATTAATAATATCATATTCTTTTTTCCAGTTGTCTAAGCAGCTGAGTTCCAGAAAAGAGGACTTCCACATGCACATATATTGCTTTTTCTGGCTCCCAAGTACAAGAATCCTCCGGTATCAAAAATAGATAATATGATATCTACTGAAATACCTGATAAAGAAAGCGATCCTCTTGCTTTTGCTTCTGTCGAAAACTACATGATCCATGGCCCATGTGGTGATGCGAATAAAAATTCCCCTTGCGTGTAGAAAGGAAAATGTCAAAAACATTTTCCAAAGAAGTTTGTCAAAACTACAACTGTCGATGATGAAGGATACCCACTACATAGAAGGCAGGATACTGGCACACTTATTGAGAAAAAATGAGTCAAATTGAATTATCTTTTTGTTGTTCCTTACAATAGGAATTTATTGATAAAGTTTGATGCCCACCTTAATATCGAGATCTGTAATCAACACAGGTCAATCAAATATTTGTTCAAATACATCAACAAATGGCCTGACAGAATAACAGTTTCTATACAGTCTAATAAGGATAGTGGAGCGAGTTCTGAATCTACTAACAGTGGAATGGTGGACGAAATCAAAGCTTATCTTGATTGCAGGTATATACAAACAAATAACATATAATCTCATAGTATCATTTGTTATTATTTATTATAATTATAACATTAATGTATTCGATATTCAAATTACAGATACATATCTGCTATGGAATCTTGCTGGAAGATATTTCAATTTGATATCTATTACAGAGAACCGGCAGTTGAGAGATTACCATTCCACCTGGAGAATGAACAAACAACAATCTTCAATCCGGATAAGTGTTTAGTAACATATTTAGAAAGCAAAGCTGTTATACAGACTAAATTAACAGAGTGGATGAAATGCAATGAAGAAAACCCTCAAGCAAGATCACTGACATATTATGATTTTCCAACTAAATGGGTTTGGAATGATACAGAGAGAAAATGGATGAAAATAAAAAAGGGAAAATGTATTGGCAGAATCTACTTTGCATTTCCAGATAGTGGCGAGAAATATTATTTGCTAATGCTCCTAAATTTAGTTAAAGGAGCAACATCATTTGCAGATATTAGAACTGTAAATGGAGAAATACATCCTACATTCAAAGATGCATGTTATGCTTCAGGTCTGATGGATGATGATAAATAATGGAATAATTGTCTAAACGAAGCGTCAGTGTGGGTTTCTGGAAGTCGTTTACGACAGCTATTTGTAACCATTCTGTTATTCAATGAAGTTGTTAGTCCTGTAGATTTGTGGAGAAAAATGCGGTTAAGTTATCTGAAGATATGGCATATATTCTGAAACAGCAAACGGGAATGCAAGCAGTTAGATTCAGTGATGAGCAAACGGGAGGTATGACTGTTGCTCTTGGCGGCGATTTTAGACAGATTTTGCTTGTTATTCCAAAAGGAAAAAAATTTGATATAATGCAAGCATGTTTATGTTCATCTCATCTTTGGAAAAATATAATAGTGTTGAAACTTATAGAAAACATGAGATTGAAAAAAAAAAACACAGCAGCACTGCAGATTTAGATAAGATGTCTGCTTTTGACAGATAGTTACTTTGTATTTGAGAAGGAACAAGTGTATCAGATGATGAAAGCCTGTTAGAAATTCCTAATGACTTAAATCTTACTGAAGATTGTGCTCCACAAGAGACAATTCTCAATGCTGTTTTCCCAGGTTTACGTGATCAGATAGGAAATGCCCAGTATATGAGGGAAAAAGCAATTCTTATAGCAAAAAACGACGTAGTTCATGAACTAAATGAGTATATTATTCAGATGTTGCCATTAGAAGAGAAGACATACTACAATTTGTATACAACTTGCAAAGCAGGAGGAACGTCAAACGATGATGATATCCTATACCCAACTGAGTTCCTGAACACCTTGATATGCTCTGGTATGCCGAAACACGAATTAAAGTTAAAAGTTGGGGTTCCAATTATGTTGCTACGTAATTTGAACCAAGCAGATGGTCTTCGCAATGGCACGAGATTTAGGAAACTGGTGCATACAAGCAGAGATATTATAGGATCAAATGGGCATAATGTTGTGATTCCAAGAATAGTGATGTCCAATGCCGACGCAAGATGGCCCTTCAGACTGAAAAGAAGACAACTGCCAATTGTAGTTGGCTTTTTCATGATAATCAACAAAAGCCAAGGCCAATATTTGAAAACAGTGGGGTTATACATGAAGCACCAGGTATTTACTCATGGATAGTTATAAATTGCTCTATCAAGGGTAACTTCAAGAGAAGGGATCAAGATCTTATTAGTGCAACAAGAAGAAGAAACAAAAGAGAAATTAAAAACCATTGTTTTTAAAGAAATGTTCAACAAATTACAAGGATAGATCTACTGCTGCTTTTGTAATTGTACCAAGAAAAACCATATCAAAAGTTCATTCAATACTACAACCAGCAGTTACACACCATTTTCATTTCTACAGAAGTAACACAAACTTTGCTAGAAGAAGAAGGGTCCTCCTTCAACACAACTTTCTCTAAAAACATGGAGTCTTCATTTGGATATTTGAATTTGAATGCATTTGCACAGGCTTTCCTGGTGGTCACATACATATCTGTCATAGTATCACAAGCCTCTTCCTTTTCTTTTTCAGCCTGAACAATTAAATATTTTATCATTGCAATCTCCTCACGCAATTCCATTTTTTTTTTTTTTTTTGGGTGAGGAGTTCATTTTCTTTGTGTTAAATTCCAATTTTGTGTTCAGCACTTTTAAGTGCATCATCACGACATTTCAAATCATGTTCAACCTTATCTAACTTCTCTTTCAAAACTGTAGTGATGTGGCATTTTTATATGACACGTAGGAGTCAAAACTGGAGTTGGCTGGTCAAAGTAAATTGTTAAGACAAAAGGGGCAGTTCTGTCTTTTCCCTTGGTTCCCGAAACCTAAATCGAATTAGGTCTTGTGTACGCAGCTCATTTCTCACTTTTCTCTCTTGGTTAACAGAGAGAGAAACGGTTAGAGATGCTGTGCTGGAAATCCCATACCCGTCCATGGAATCAACGGTGATGGTAGGTGTGAGCTGTCCTTTTCTGTTATAGCCCTTACTGTTTTGTATAAATCTGTACTGATTTTCTGCTTTGTGTGCGATGTATGAGTGGTGAGAGCATCTGGGTATACGGGTGTGTAAACAGAGGGTTTGTATCGGGTTGATGCCTTGGTGTAAAAGGGGTGAGCCGATTCTTCTGTAAGGTTTCTCAAACTCATAGTAAAATACCTTTTCTGGTTGCCTTTGAAGAGTGGATGTAGGTAATCTTTCAGATTACCGAACCACTATAAATTGGTGTCTCTATTGTCTACTTTTCTTTTACTGCTTTTATCTTCATTATTATGATTGTTATGATTTGATTTCCTAATCTGGACTATTGCTGATTCACTATATATTGGGTTTAATTTACAACAAAAACCTTCTTCTCCTCTTTAGTTTTACGGTTGTCAGACATTATGACTTCGTTTTGCTGCTCTAAATTTGACACCATCGTTTCTACAGCTAGCCACCGTTCTATGACTTCTAACATAACATCATGACCCTATTTCAAACAATTCAAACCAAAAAAACAAAATTAATATCAAAATATTATAAATGAAAATCTTAAATCAATAGTGTCAAAAAATACACATTTTTGCCGCATTCAAGACTATATTGCCTAAATCTTTAGAAGGTAAAGCTTGTAAATCAATATCAGATTTCCTATCAGCATTCTCTTGGTGATATGTTTTCTGCTGTTTTATCAATCTACATAATGGAAGCTCTTCTGTATCATCATTCTTTTCTTCAATCAATTCGACATGACATGAACCAGAAACAAGTATAACAGGATTGGACACTGATATAGATGAATCACAAGTCTTTGATTTATTTGATAACTTCGTGCCTGATTCATCCATTGTTACTCTCTTATATGCATTCCTAGCTTCAAGTCTACGAACAAACTTCATCAAATCCTTAGGTGGCATATCTACAATGTAAAATAACATGTTATTAGACATAGGAAAGAAAAATCAAATTAGTCATCAATAAATAACAAACCATTCATTCCACTAAAAATTCGATTCACCAATTTACAATAAATCAATAACTAATTAATAAAAACAACAATAAAATACCCATAATTAAACCAATCAACCACAATTAAAAAAATGTAATCTGAATTAACAAACAACACAATTTAGCTACAATAAATGAATTAATTACAAACTATTTAAAACGTTAAATTTCTACCTGATTATGTCTTAAGCATTTACTCAAACACTTTATCTACAAATGCAAAACAAAATAAAGACAACAACAAAATAAAAAGTTTACCGTTGTGAATTAAATATTTCACGTTCTCAGTATATTCTGAGATAAAATTCCCAAGACTAATAGACTGCAATTGAAAAAAAAAAAAAATCAGTGGAAAAATTGTTAAAAAGTTTGGGGTTATGTCATTGACATTGAAAAGAAAACATGTAATCTGGAAGTCAACAACCAATACACAATGAGTCAAATAGAAACCCTTATTTTAAAAGTGACCAACTCTATAAACAATAATGGGTGCGTTTGGTTTATTATTTTGGATAAGATTTTGAGGATATATTGGATAGTTGGATAGGGTTATGATTACGATAATAAGATTTACAGAATATGTGTTTGGTAGAGTATTTTGACCTTGATATTTGTGTTGAATATTTGATTAATATATTTTTTTATAAGTGATTTATTAATATAATATTTTATTACATTTTGTTAAAATAATATATTATTATATATATAACTTATCAAGTTACATTTTAATAATACTAAATATTTTATTGGTAATTTTGTCACCCGTATATATTAAAAACAAAAACTCATATTAATTTTAAATACTAATCCAACTGTTTAAAAACATCACATTAATATATATATGACAAAAGTACTAATTATCAACTCTTACAATCGTTATTACATGTATACTCTATTAACAACTACGATATGGTTCATGGTGGTGAGTGGTTCATGATAAATGTGTGACAAATCTGGTGGTATGGTGTGGTTCATGGTATGAAGAAAACTGAGAAAATGAAACACAAATGCAGTGAAGAAAACTGAGAAAATGACACACAAATGCAATGAAGAAAAACTGACAAAATGAAATACAAATGAGAGAGAAGAAGAGCTGCAAACTTAACGGTCAGTAAAGAAAAAGCTGAGAAAATTAAATTTGCAAATTGTAAAAGTCAAAACTGTCAGGATCAAATTTTCAAAGTCCTATTGTCTGAATAATAAGCCAAACGCTATTGCGAAAATCGGTTTCAGAAGACAAATAAAAATAATAAGCCAAACAGGCCCAACGTTTTACTGACTCAAACTTTTTAAAATGAAAACGACAACGTATTATTCACCTTCTAATTGTATAAAACAAAACGTTTCATAATAAAATAAAATAAAAACATCAATGCTAAATACCAACAACATAAGATGCAAATCATTTAAAAAAACAAAAGATAAAAAAATTGTAAAAAAAAAAACACACTATGATCTAAAATTAAAAAAATTGAATTCTACATAATCTAATACATTAATTATATAATAAATATATTTTTCCATTACAATGTAATTTGATATTTCCTTATATTTCCTAGGAATAGTTAACAGTATTAATGCATGTTTTAATAACAATTTATATAAAAACATTAGTATAATTTCTTTATAATAGAAATTATTCAACAAAATAAATTGACCAATATACGAAATAAATTCATTAAATGCTTAATAAATATTAATTACAGTTATCAGTTTTCAAAAATACTAAACGACATATTTAATTCAAAATAATATGACGACTATTCAAAATCTACTCAAAAGTTATATAAACAAGAATTGACACCACAAAAACATAATGTTACAAACATTTAAACCAAAGAAAAAATCATCATGACTAACAAAATTTCGCCGGCACAGAGAACAAATTTCTTACAACTACGACAAGAAATACTGCAGAAAATTATCGTTAAAGCAACTAAGAATAGCAGCAAAACTCTACAAGCAGTTTGTTTGACGTAAGTATTACTAACATGTAGAGTATTGATTATTATATATTGCTATATACAATTAATGTTTCCCTTATCTAACAAATTATAGATGCAATTTTCTATACAAACAATCGAACGTAAAGCAAGTTCTGCATAAAAGAAACATCTTTAAACAAAGACACAAACTATTGGCAATTACACTAGAGGGACTTTCAATTTTGAAGATCTTGGCAAACACAGAAAATGAACGTGCTTTGTTACTTCTTGGAACACATTTACTATTCATCAAACATGATGTTTACACAAAAATACCTATGCTAGCTGCAACCTGCAAAACAAAGACCCGACAATCACTATATATTTTTGCATTTGTGTTGCTAATAATATATGATAACAACGGAATACAAATTCTCCTCAAATTGGTGAAAGAACCAAATTCTTTCAACAAGAGGATAAATTGCTGAGAAACCTTCAAATCTATGACACCAACAGCAAAAATTGTCCTCAAGCAAAAAATATTAGGAATTTGCAACCAAGAGGGTGAAAATATTGTACACTAGGATAGAACAACACCACCACAAGATATCACCTACAAAAGATGTTCTATAGACTATGAAATAGTATGTGTTAAATACAATCTGTAACAGCAAACAAAAAAAATAAATAAATAAATAAAATCGCACAGCATATTACTAATTTCCGATTGTATATACAGAATTAATATATTAATTTACAACGTAGACAACGAACAATTAAAACTAACATGCCAAACAATTTATCTAGGAACATCAGAGCTTAACAAATGTGTCTGCTTATAGATGTAAACACTATTCTATGAAGGCTATGGCGACCGGCTTTGATAACAAGTTAAATCACCATTCGAACAAACTATTTGTCAACTGGTAAATTGGAAAAAAACTTTGCAGCGAACTATTTAACTGGAAACTAACAAATTAACATGACGAACAATATAACAAACAACTGAGTCACACCTATTAACACTATTTTATGACATCTATGACTCGGAAAGCCAACAAATTATTTGTCAACTACTAAAGTTGACAAAAAATTTGAAACGAACTATTTTTCAGAATCCTGTTATCACTATTTGCTCATGGATGTGCCCAACAAAATGATCATAATATTCTTTTTGGCTGTACTATGGAATAAACTTCACTCATGGAAAGCCGATCA